AAATTTCATGGAGGGCCAGCTCTGTGGCTTTGTGGTCAAGGTAGGTTGATTCCATATGGCCAACCCTGTGGTTTGAGGCCCTGACCTGGCAGGTTGAGAAAAACACTGGGTGCACGGGTCTGCATGCCCAAATCCCAATAGGAAGGATGAATGAGGAGAAAGGATTACAGAGTGATCATACCCCCTGGTCAAGGTGGTGGAGGGGTGCTTTCTCCTTCTCTGTCTCATCTCTCTGTCTCTCTCTGATGGGCAAACATACCCTCTATCTAAATTTCTTTTTTTTTTTGGAGAGGTTTTTCACTACAGGGCGCGTGCGCTCGCCAGACAGACAGAGAGAGACAGAGACAGAAAGCGAGAAATCACCCCCCAGGGGGGATGGTCACGCCGCAATTCCCTTCTCCTCCATTCTCCTCTCGGGATCTTGGGCACACACGCACACACACCCGGCATGAGTTTTAAGCCACCGGGTCCGGGACACGAACCGCGGTCAACTACATGGGAGTCCAGCGACATAGCCATTACACTAACTACCGGTTCCCTATCTAAATTTTTTTTTGACTGCCTATTTTTACAAAACTATGCATGGATATCAAAATTCTTTGCACCAAAAATAGCTCATACTTTAATTCCATGAACTTTGTGAAGTTTCCTCATACTTCATGGATGCTGGCAAAAGACATGAGACTCCTAGCCAAAAACTAAGGACACTGTTATTCTTGGCAAAAGCAGAAGCCAGAGCTTCATGTTAGCACTGGTTCCCCACGTCCTCCAAAGCCCATGGAGACAACACAGGTGGGTCTAGACAGACGTGGAATGAGCTCTACTGTAGGAGAGGAGCACTGAGCTTGGGGGAGCTATTGCTTTTATCAAACAAACCTGCATTCTGTCTTCAGGCAGAAATCTCATTTTTCAAAGCTGCTCCCTGTAAGCACAGTCCTGAGAAACAGCCCAGGTAGGCAATGGTCAGGACATTGCATTTCTGACATACTCAGCAAAGAGGTACAGAGATGTTCAGGACGCACAGTGAACTGCCTCACCCAGTAGCCTCCTGGTCAGTCCTTTAACCCATAAGCCTGCTCCTGCCTCATGCCTCCAGTCTCTGCAATGGCTATCCCCTTTGCTTAGAAGCTTCCCCAGACATCAGCAGGACTCTCTTCATCTCCTCCAAGTCTGCTCTAGTGTCGCCCTCATGATGAGGCCCATCCTGACCAACCTATCTAAAACTGTACCCCTGGAGCCAGCTTATGGTGCAGTGGTTACGTCACTGGACTCCCACATGGCCGACTGCAGTTCAAGTACCAGACGGGTGACTTGAAAATCACACTAGGCATGTGTGTGTGTGTGCATGCCCAAGATTCCAGGAGGAACATGGAGAAGAGATTTCGGCATGGCCACCCTGCCTGGGGGGTGATGTTTCCACTTTCCCTCTCACTGTCTCTGTCTCTCTCTCCCTGGTGAGCAAACATGCCTTATGGTAAAAACCTCTAAAAATTAAAAAAGAAAAACTGTACCTCCATCTTACTTCACCCCATTCTATTTTCTGTTAGTACTTATCACTTTAACATACTATATATTGCACTTATTAATTATGTTTACATGCATCGTCTATTTCTCCCCACTCTAAGAATGTAAGCTCCGTAGATGTAATAGGCAGAATTCTAGGATGCCCTGGCACATACATCTTGTCTGACTCTCTCCTTGGGTGATGGCAGAGACCATGAATATGATGGGATAGCACTCCTCCTGTGATTATGTTCTGTTGTCTAGCAAAGGGATATTACTGATGTCCTTAAAAGTTACTTATCAGCTAGCTTTGAGTTAATAAAAAAGATTATTCACATAAGCCATTTAAATATGGGCATAGAAATACGAGACAGGAAGTGAGAGATCCCCAGCTGGATTCAGGGGGGCATGGGGCAGAGAACAGAGGGTCACTTCTAACTCCTAGTAAGAAATGAGGAACCTAAGCTCTACGATTGCAACTAAACGAATTCTGCCAACAATGTAAGTGTGGAAGAGACCATGAGCCACAGATGAGAGAGCAGTTCCAGTCGACACCTTGATCTCAACTATGAGAGATCCTGAGCAGAGAGTTTAGTTAAGCCAAACTCAGACTCTACCCCATGGAGATTAAGAGATAATAAATGAGTGCTGTGTTAAGCCACTAAATTTGTGATCATTTGTTATGCAGTAATAGAAAATAAATATGACAGTGCAGGGATCTTTGCCTGCTTTGTTCATCGATAGAACATAGCTAGCACATAATAGACCCTCAATGAATACTTATTCATGGGATCTAAGTGGGATTAGCCTTAGGAAAACAGCACTGCTTTCTCTTTACTTTTCTTATGTTGCTTCAAACCAATACTAAGTTCCTATTTTCCACATGCAAACATGAGTGCCATGGTTCTTGCATTCAGAGATAAGCTGTTTGAGAGAAAACAGAGCCTTTATCTACACCTCCAACAGGCAGGTGCCACAAAGACTTTCCAGATAAGCTTGGTGTTTCAAGTTCCAACAATCTGCCAGGCAAACTCCAAGGCATCACAATAGCTCTAGTTTCCCTAAAAACAGAGATGCTCTACTTAAACATTAAAAAAAATTAAAAAGTAGTGAGAAGAAAGTTTGAATGTGGGATATAAACAAACGCTGTGGAGGCTATTTATACAGTAAAATGATCTCAGTTCTGTACAGTATCCTGTGTCAACTGTCCTTAAAAACCGACCTTGCATGATATAAAGACATGTTCCAGTCAAGTAGAGCGGCCAGTCCATTCACTCACTTGGCAGATAAGCACTGAGCAGCTACTACGCGCTAGACACCAAGGGTCAAGGGGTGAGCCAAAGAGGTGAAGTTCCCATATTCATTAAGTTTACTGTCTAAAGGAGACAAGTATTAAACAAATTCATAATTATGTGTGAGAATAGACACACAGACCTAAGTACCAAAGTAGAGGGAGACCAGCAAAAAGACTGTAATTTGCGTTGTGAGGTCAGAGAAGGCCTGAGGATGAGTGGGAGTAAGTCAGAGTCACGGTAACAATCCAAAACCCATGAGAAGGAAAGGTCCTCTTATGGCATCATTAGAAATCGATGGTTAGGAATATAGGTCACTTTACTCAGGGGCTGCCCTTAATAGTTATCAATACAGTTCAATTCCCGGCCCACAATCACTGCCCTGCTCCCAGGGAGACATCAGAAAAAGACTTCTTTTAAAAACCGAGTAGTGGAGGGGCCGTCAGGTGGCACAGTGCTTGGGGGTGCTGGACTCCCACATGGCAGACCATGGTTCAGCTCTTGAACCTGGTGACTTGCTTTCTCACTTGCCCTCTCTCTCTCTGGTCAAATTGAAATAAATAAATAAATAAAGCTGAATGGGATAATTCTTATTTAAAAAAAAAACAAAACCCAGTAGTAGGGCGGTCAGGTAGTATGGTGATTAAGGGTGCTGGACTCCCACATGGCAGACCATGGTTCAACTCTTGAACCTGGTGACTTGCTTTCTCACTTTTCCTCTCTTTCTTTCTCTGTCTCTCTCTGATCAAACTGGAAAATAATAATAATAATAAATAAAGTTAAATAAAATAATTCTTAAAAAGAAAAAACACAGTAGTAAAGGGACCAGCAGATGGTATAATGGTTACACCACTGGACTCCCACATGGCTCACCACGGTTCAAGTCCCAGACTCCAAGGCTTGAAACTCATACTGGGTGCATGTGCATGTGTGCCCAAAATCTCAAGAGGAGAATGGAGGAGAAGGGGGTACAGCATGCCCATCCCACCGGGGCATGATTTCTTGCTTTCTTTCTCTCTCTGTTCTCTGGCAAATACACACATCCTATAGCAAAAATCTCTTAAGAAAAAAAAAAAAGCAGTAAAAGAAGGGCTGATGAGCCAGCCCATGGTGTGGTAGCTAAAAAGCTGGGTCTCATGTGGCCAGATGTATGGTTCAAGTATCGGGCCCGATAAACATGCCAGGCAAATGTGCACGTGTGCTCCAAATCCCAAGAGATGGAAGACAAGGGATTATTCATTCATTTATTTTACTTTGACCAGAGAGAGACATTGGGGTGGGGGAGGGATGAGGAAAAAAGCCACCAGGTCCAGGATTCAAACTGTGGTCAGCCATGTGGGAGTGTCCAGAGCTTTAACCAGCACACCTGCTGGTCCCAAGGTCAGGAATTTTTGTCTTCGTTCACTGTTCTATTCCTGGTGCTTTAGAACAATGCCGGGTATATAGTGAACACTCATTAACTACCTGCTAAGTGAATAAACATCTAACCGATGTTCTTTTTTTTTTTTTTTTTTTTTAACTTTTTGGAGTAGAGTGATGGATGGAGGCAGAAGAGGTGTTGTACTTAGGTGGGCAGAGGAAGGAAATTCCTTCCTTAAAGTTCTCCCTCTCTTTTGGCAGTTTGCTTGGCTGTGTCAGGTGGCTGTTTGCTGCCTGTCCCTAAGAGGATTATGCAGCCCTGCCAGTTGCCAGGGACACAAAGAGCCTCATGCAGGTAGAGAACACCTTCCTCCCCTCCCCCGCCCCACATCCTAGCAGGGCTTCCAAGAGCCACAGTGTGGTGGGCTCTGTGTCTCCTCTTCTCTTGCTCATGAGAAGGGCATGCTCCATATCCAGGCTGCTCTCCTGCGTGGACCCTAGATTTAAGGTCCAGTCCACCCAAAGCCAGCATGTAATGTAAGAAACAGATGGACACTATTGTAGGCCACTGAAATGTTACAGTTGTTACTGCAGCAAAGCTAAATGATCACTATTAAAGGGGGTGAGAATTAACGAGAGGTGGTCAAACTTAAAATATAGGAAAGATGTCTGTCTATAAAAACTCACTAGAAAGGAAATAAAAATGATGTCTGGAATTATAATTTAAGTAAATGGGAAAATGATTCACTTGTAAAGATAATTTTTACAGTTTTTGGTAACATTTATGTATGCCTACATACTTATACTTTATTAAAATACTTTAAGAATATTAGAAAAAAATCAAACCTTGAAATGAATCAAAGAAAGTTACAATGTTGGGATGTTTCATCTTTGCCAGAAGAATGACTTCTTTCTGTGAAGCTTCTTTTTCCCGAATGGGCATCTAAATTATAGTAAGAGACACAGTAGTTTGTATAGATAACTTGTTTTCAAGAACATGCTTTCTTCTAACTCCCATCTAAAATACTCCAGATTTTCATTGGCTTTTAGCGTCACTTCTAAAACTGATCTCTTAATGCAAGGAACAACAATTCTAGAATTCACAGAGTACTCCATATGCAATCAATGGTTTGTTGACAATCACATCAAGAAAACAGATTTTTAAGAAGTTCATGGAAAATAGAATTAAAATATGAGTTTATTTTGATGCAAACTTTTTTTTAAATCCATGTATAATTGTTCATAATGTTCATTTTCTGTGAACTTTTAAAAAATTATATTATTGATCTTATTAATTTTTATAATTTTTTAAAATTTGCTATAAAGCACATTCATTCACCAGAGAGAGACAGAGAGAGGGAAAGTGAGAAAGCAAGCTTCCAGGTCCAGGACTTGAACCATGATCAGCATGTGGGAGTCTAGCACCTTAACCACTATGCCACCTGCTGGCCCCTTCCATGAACTTATTGAAGACTTCCTCGGATAAGCAAAGTGATGAGAACTACCTTTTAGGTATTACGAGAATTCGGTGGGTTGTTATATAGAAAACACCTAGAATGGTGTAACATACAAGAGGCACCTAGTAAGTGGTAACCGTAAGCAAGACTGCTCACTATTGTGAACATTTCATAATATATGAGAACATTTTATTGTATAAAAACACTGAACGACAGGGACAGCGGGTAGTGTGGAGATTAAGGCAGCTGGATCCCACATGGCTGACTTTGCAGTTCAAGTCCCAGGCAGTGGCTTGGAAATCATGGCCATGTGTGGTCAAAATCCCGAGAGGAGAATGGAGAAGCAAGTGTGGTGTGGCCATCACTCCTGGGGTGTGATTTATCGTTTTCCCGCCTCTCTCTCTTTCTGGTGAGTGTACACATGTCCTCCAGCAAACAAATACAAACATTGACATGAAAAAATATACACAATGTATTGCTAAGTGTAAAAAGCTACTATAAAAGAGTATAGCTGCCATAACATCAATCATTCTTTTCACTTATAGAGTGCATTGATACATAATCTGGGGAGAAATCCCAAAATGTTAATAGCAATTAAGAGAGATGCTATATGTTATTTTTATTTTCTTCTAAATGGTATTATTTTTCCCCTTTGGTCATTTTCAAAATTTGGAACCAGCAGTTAGCATAATGGCTATGTGTTGCCGGACTCCCATGTAGTTGATCGCAGTTCGAGACCCAGACTCGGTGGCTTAAACTCACGCCAGGTGCGTGTGTGTGTATGTGTGCCCAAGATCCTAAGAGGAGAATGGAGAAGGGATTACGGCATGGCCATCCCTCCAGGGGGTGATTTCTCACTTTCTGTCTTTCTGTCTCTCTCTTTCTGGCAAGCACACATGCCTTATAGCAAAAACCTCTCCGAAAAAAAAAAGTTTATACAATAAATATTTTAATTTTATAATTGAGAAAAGATATAACACCTTTTTAAGGCAAAAAATTAAAAGAACAAGCTTGATAATGGTAGGATGATGAGAGAATTATTCATTTTTTGGTACTGGTAAGAAAATGAGCAGTTTTAGATCTGAGGTCTAGAGTTTACAGAATAGGGAGACATAGAAGATGAG